CCCCTGCTCTCCTGGTTTCTCTTAACTGCCCTCCCCTGCTGGCCATCTTGTGGTGGCCATTTTGTGTCCACATGGGGGCCGCCACCTTTGACCACATGGGGGCAGCCATCTTGTGTTTTGGAGTAATGGTCAATTTGCATATCACCTCTTTATTAGATAGGATACTTTTTAAAAAATACCATCTTTGTTTTTAAGTTTTAGATATGTGCAAAATGATTGACCACCCACCCACACCTGCACCCAGACATGCACACAGACATGCTCTCACATACACTGTGTTGGTTCCAGGAATAAGCCCTTCAGAAGAGGAGCAGAGTGTGGATCTTGAAAGGAAACTTACTTTGGAAAATAGAACTAGGCACTGAAGGAATGATGGAATTTAGATGAGGGAAAGAAGATGAAAAGCAAAAAAAGAAAAGAGCAGAAAGCTAAATAGTTAAGGCAAAACAAATGTATTAGTTTGGCAAAAGCCTTTGTTAGGGGAACTACAAGAGTAGAAGTTAGAGAGGAAGGAAAGTATTAAATGTGGAGAATCAAAAAGAATAATATGGATGCTAACATAGTATCCCTTGTTTTTCAAAAATAATTTGTAAGAAGTACACTAATCCATAGGTATTCTGCTCTTCTAAAGCTTCAAAACATCTCCATCAATCTCAGGAATCCTTCTATATTTTACCATATAGGGTTTTACCATTTTGGAGTTGAATAGAAAAACTAAAAAAAAAAAAAAAAAAAAAAAAAAAAGTTTCAGTTTGTTTTGTCCTGAATCTTAAGAACATTTAGTTCTTGGATTCAGTAAATAAATGCTGAACTCCTCACTTTCCCTCTTGAACCTCTCCTCTGTGTCCATTCTTGATTTTTGTGAGCTTTTAAAGTTTCTATGATCTCTCCAAACTTCCTTCTTTGTCATCAGCATTCCATGGGTTGTCTCGTTCTAGTATTTCTCTTTACAGAGCTCTTCACACCCAGTCTTTTCTTACATCGGATACTACATATTACAAAAATTACTTCCACTTCCATCTCCCTCACCTCCAGCATATCCTACTATACATGAGCTTCATTCAGTCATAGCTCATTCAGTACACTTTTAGATTACTTTACCTAAAGCACAGCTCTGATACTGTGAAGCTCAAGCTCATAACATTCACAGGCTCCATACTGGCTTAAATAAAACCCATAGTTTGATATTTAAGACACTCTTCAGTCTAGTCCCACTTCATATATTCTAAATTCTATTTTACTTTTTATATTCTAAATTCCTATCAAAACTAATAATTACTGTTTTCTAGGCACATATCACAAGTTCCTGTTCTGGGTTAATATTATTCTCTATTTTTGAATTGTTAATTGTGTACAACCTTAGATTACATCATCCTATATAATAAAGAGGTAATATGCAAATTGACCATCACTCCAACACACAATATGGCTGCCCCCATGTGGTCAAAGATGGCTGCCACAAGATGGCCAACAGGGGAGGGCAGTTGTGGGCAATTGGGCTAGTAGGGGAAGGCAGTTAGGGGCAATCAGTTTGGCAAGGGGGGAAAGTTAGGGGTGACCAGGCCTGGAGGGAAGGCCAGTTGGGGGTGACCATTCCAGCAGGGGAGGGAAGTTAGAGGTAACTAGGCTGGCAAAGGAGGACAATTAGGGGTGACCAGGCCAGCAGGGGAGGGCAGTTAGGGGCAATCAGGCTGGCAAGGGAGCAGTTAGGCATCGATCAAGCTGGCAGGGGAGTGGTTAGGGGGTGATCAGGCTGGCAGGCAGAAAGGTTAGGGACAATCAGGCAGGCAGGCAGGCAAGCGGTTGGGAGCCAGCAGTGCTAGATTGTGAGAGGGATGTCTGACTACCTGTTTGATCAGGCCTAAATGGGCAGTTAGACATCCCTTTAGGGGTCCCAATTAGGGTAAGGCTGAGGGACACCCCTGGAAGCATGAATTTCATGCACCAGGCCTCTAATTTTATATTAAAAAAATTTCTTATCTTGCTGACTCTAGCTGATGCCTACTAGGAAGTCAGGCCTCATATTGTTTAATCTTCATATACCTTACTTCATGAATTATAAGAAGATGTGGGGGGGAAAGAAAAGTGATTGTCTAGTAAACTAACTGCATGCTTATGAAGTGCCATTATAGTGGGAAATATTTTAATATTGTTTATAGTCTCATTTACAATAACAATCGGGTATTCCAAGAGGTAATATAAACCAGTAAATGTGTACACAGCACTATGATGGACACACAGAGCAATTATTATGCTTCAGGCACTCATTTCAGTTGCAAGTACTCTGAGAGGTAGGTATTGTTGCTAACCGCATTTTCAGCTGAGAGGACTGAGGGAAAAATGAATCCTACTCAGCTATTAAATGCTAACTCTGGGATTGGAGCCCCTGTGATCTGTTACCGGAGCCCATGCACTACCGATACCAGCAGCCTGTTCTGGGTCTAGTTTCCAACTGCATCCACATGACTGTCCCTTCCAAAACAATAGGAACAAGTACCACGACTTCATTTCAGGACACATAAGTAGGCTTTTTAAATAGTTCATAAAAATTCTTCCATGTCTGTTTACTTTTCAGAGTATTCTGAAGTGCATTCAATTATATGCAGCCAAATTTTGATTGAGAAAATTAGATAAAAATTTTTCTTTGGCTTATAATGTACATAAAATGTCTAACATTCTTTAAGTGAAAGTTTCTAAACACTCTATAAAGATGAAAATACAAAATACTGAAATGAAATGCTATCAACAATATTTGACATCTTATATACAATAAGTTAATAACAGTGGAGACAGATTAAAAAATGAATGTAATTCAATGTTTTGCATGATAATTAAAAGTTTGATTATAATTTATATACCGGTAAACTAGAAAAAGATAAGATTTGGCCTTCCTCTAATTTTTCTTTTCTGAAATTGATTTCTAATAAGCTGAGGGAAACTTTCTTTGATCTCTCTAAGAAAAATACATAAAAATATACATATATGCATAAAATGTCCAGTTTGTTAAGTGAACATTTTAATTTTATAAATCCATAGTGGCAGTAAATCAGGCATTATATATATATATACTTTTTAAATACCATTTTAAACATAATGTTTTCTTCTCTGACATATTCCACAATTATACTGTAGCTAAACTAATAAAATGAAGAATCTAAAATAGTAATTACCAAATGAGAAACATTACAACCCTAAAAATGCCATAATTTAGCCTAATATTATCTAAGTTGTAAAAATATAATGTTTGATAAACTACATTATTGCATCATTAGTTTACATTTGATACCATCACATTAAAAATACTTCTCCACATGTTCTCTATATATGGTCTATAACAACTACCTACTGCATCCTAGCAACAGGGAGTTTGTATCAACAGCTTAAATACATTTATTATCAATGTCATTTCTCTAAACTAGGTCTTTTCTTAAAGGGGGAAAACAGGCTCTAACTGTTATTTGCTCTTTAAAATTGTATTGTTTTAACATTAGCATACTCAGGAGGACTGCTGAGAGTAAAAGGCATGCAGCTACCCTGTGCCTGGCTCCAGGAGAAAGCGGAAATAGAAAACTTTTGTCTGATTGCTCACGTTCCTCATTTTACTGTGCTGCTATTCTCCAGAGCATATATTCATGTTCTTCTACTTCGGGTTTTATTACTGCTTTTGTATTATTTAATACATCTAAAGACACTTCCAAAAGACAAATTTTTCCATTTTGAAAAAGTCATGGTTTCGAACCCAATGAAACACATTAACGTTCACAGTGTGTTTTTCAAAAAGGTGATAGAATAAAAGTGCTATAAAGCAATTAGGTACATGATCTGAAAGACATTAATATGTCAAGTAGAATAAGATGTTTTAAAAGTCAACAAAAATAATATTCTGTGAAACCAGACACATAGAAAGATCACATTTCTCTTTCAGATCTTTGACTAGATATTTAATTCAAACATAGGTAGAGAGAATAGAAAAATGAGAGAAAGCAATAAGCTTACCTCAGTAATTTAAAATTGGAAGGATATAACATTTAACTTTAAGAAGTACATATAGACATAAGTTATAATACAATATAACATACATACACACACAGACACACAGACACACACGAACACACACACACACACACACACACACACACACATATATATATAATGTATATATATTTCAGATGCTGATTACCCCCCTAAATTCTAGGTTCTCCCATAGTCTGCACATCTTAGTAAACAAGAAACTGATATGGTTGGCCTATTGAATAAGCCCCGGCATTTTTTAGAGTGTTATACACATTTCTGAAATTCACAAAACATCAATTTTTAATACATCTACTCTCTCAGCTCCATTAAAAGGATGGTAGGGGAAAGATTTTAGAGTAATTAATGATATAGTTAGCTGCTAAATATTAATAGGAATCGTAGCCTTGCATAAAATATAACGTATAAACCTTGCCAATACAGACGCACCAGTAATTAAAGTTGAATATGTAATTACACTGATTAATATGACAGGCAAAAAGTTACACTTTACTGGTTTCTATGTAAACTGTGGGTAACAGTTAAACTTTGCATTTTATGGTTTATAAAAATGGGCAATATCTTGACTACAGTTCATAAATGGTTTAGAGACCTGCAATAGTAGTTAAAATATGCCAACTTACTCCTTCATAAATATTCTTACTGCACCACGCAAACCAAACTGTGATAATGACCCATAAGATGTAGAGCCATCTCAGACATCGCTTTACATCCCAGAGAATGTTGGTTGTGTTAAGAATTTGTGGAGAACCGTTACTACCATAATTACGGGACATTGGAGAGATATTCGGAAGGTTCTTAAATTTGATTTGGATGCACATATTCACATCATGAACACGGTGCAATTCAACTCCGCTTAAACGTATGCTTTTTACTCATGCATCATTGGAATCTTCAGGAGAATACTCAATTGTAGGAGCACAGGACTATGAGCTCTCCCTTTTACGGAGTCTGCTAACCACGCTTACATGTGCGGCTGAGGCGAGCAGCCCGGACTGCTGTTCCCGTTGCTGTCCATGTGATCCAAGGAGCCGTTGAGATCCTCGTGGACTGCCTGGAGGAGGCCGCTGGACGCGTTGTTGATCAGGCCGGGGTTGCTGAGCAGAGGTAAGCTGCTCTCGGCCAGCGCAGCCTAGTGGGATGGAGAGGGCAGAAGACAGCCTGTGAGATGAATGCTCTTGACAATGATTTTTAAAACATAAACATTCTCTGGATGGGTTGGAATCATGGCGTGGGTATTTTAGGAGCGTGTCAATAAACCGCACGGAAGGACAAAGATTTCTAATTGGCAACTCCTGGCGAGATACCAAGGAAATGAACTGTGATGAGAAATAGGGAGGAACAGTTCTCCCAGAAAACTTTTTTCCTCATGTTTTAGCCTCTCCACATAATGAAATGCTGTATCCTTCCTGGTAGCGAGGAACTCCGAGATAATATAAGCAGTTGCTCTGCTTTTTAAAAATGACCAGAACTTAACTCAAAATAAAGAAGTCCTGGCATTTGCCTCCTCTGCATAAAAATTATATATTATAATTAAACTTTAAAGTTTTTGCCACAAGCACCATGTTCCCCAACACTATGATGTGAAATCATTTATGACAGCCTGGATAAATATTAATGCACAGCCACATGCATTTGCAAAAGCTTCTATCAATCTAGCATTTGCAGGAAAACCGAGTATTCCAGATTTTGCCACAGGGTGTCCTTCTTGCTTCTTCACATCAAAAGTATCTTGAATTAGCATCGGTGCTTTCTACAGTGCTAGGTACTACAACTTACTTAGATGATAAACCAACTATTAAGCACGATCACAACCCCACCTATAAACAAAGCCAGGCCGAAAGGAAAAGAAAAAAAGCCAAAACACTAACACAAGGACAATGGAAAGGTGCACTTAATGATATTACCTGCAAACTGGCGTTAAGAGCTGCTCCATAGCCTAAACTGGTAGGTATATTTTTTACTAAGGTTGGGCTTCTGGAAGAAAAAAAATAAAGATGATCTTTAAGTTAAAATAGAAAATATCTGGATGTTAATAATCTTAAGTAAAAAGCTATGTTC